TTGAAATTACTTAAATTGTATTTTAGTAAAGTCTTTTCGATGACAGTGGGAAGAACGGATTGGGCAAGAATAAAGTTGGAAAATCATTTAGGAAGTTATTAAAACCATTCAGAGTTTAAAAAAATGTTTTAAAAACTATTCAGAGGTGAAGATGGAAAAGCGGGTGTGAGTTGAGAGACATTTAGGAGAATGAATTAGAAGCAATTCATGATAGATGAAAAGGAGGGGTTGAAAAGACCAATACATGACTCCTGAGTTTCTGTTTCTGGTGTTTGGAAAGAATCATGCACTCTCTAGGGAAGCCCAGACTGAAGAGGAAGATGAAGAGTGGGCTTTTAGAAATGTCAAGTCCATGAATCATCAGATGAAGATGTTTAAAAGATTTATGGACACATATATCTGGATTCCTAGATGGAGCTAAGGACTGGAAGATCCATAGGATTTGGTGAGTAGTTGAAGTCAAAGGCAAAGATGGTATTATCCATTGAACAAGTATAGAAATAAACAGATTAAACCCTAGATACAACAGCACCCAGGTCAAGCAGATGTCCTAGAAATCAAGGACAGAGAACAGTCAGAAAGTAGGAGAGGTCAACACTGAGCTCAATTTGATCATTTCATTTAGCACCAGAAAGTGACTATTAAACTTTAACCAGCTCCTCTGAAACTGAGTCTAGTTAAATGTCAAAAGAAACACTAGAAATGGCTTTTTTCCTTCTTGGAAGTAGATTGTTTCTTTTTGTAAAGGCAAAGGGTTTCAACTGTTCATAAACAAAATATCTATCACATTTCACTAATGTAGGTCACAGGTAGAGAACAAGACTCTTTGGTCAAAGTCATCTCTTAGTTTCTATGAGCTTCAAATTGTTTTCATAATTAACTCTCTCCTAGATGCCTGTATTAGTTGGTTTTGTGTTGCTATAACAGAACAACTGAGGCTGTGTAATTTCTTTAGGGAAAAGAGGCTTATTTGGCTTATGATTCTGATGGCTGAAAGTTCAAGACTGGGCAGTTGCATTTGGTGAGGGCCACAGGATGCTTCAACTCATGGTGGAAAGTAAAAACGGGGTGGAAAGTGAAACAGGAGTGGGCAGTTATAAACAGAACAGGTAACAGAGGAGGTGAGGGACAGAGACCAAGGAAGTTAAACTATTTCACAACCCATTCTTGAAGGGACCAATTCACCTATCCCTGGAGGAGGGTATTAATCTATTAATGAGAGATCCACCTGCTCTTTCACAACCCAAACACCCCCTACTAGGCTCCACTTCCAACACGGCCACAATGGGGATGAAATTTCAACCTGAGTTTTGGGAGGAAAAACCACATCCAAACCATAGCCATGCCCAATTACGAATGCCACTTTAAAAAACAGTGCCCAAATACAAGCTGATGCTCCATGTGGTCCTGTCTAGAGAGAGTGCTGCATTCAAAGAAACACAGTCGAAGAACCATAAATATTTTAAGAGTAATAACAATTATTAAAGAACATGGAAAAGAATCGAGTTGAAAATACTCCTGACCTCTTTAATGCTTTTCCAACCCTCTTTCCTTCTTGCCCTAGCAGATGCTTCAGAGCCTCACATTCTTAGCTCCACAATTTTTCCCTGTACCCCAAAGCCTCAGAATCTGTGCTTTGCTCCCCTGCTGAAACTTTGGGCTGGGAACTAGCTGCAGATGAAGTGCCCCCATCGAGAGAGAGAGAGAGAGAGAGAGAGAGAGAGAGGGGGGGGGGGGAGAGGGAGAGGGAGAGGGAGAGGGAGAGGGAGCGACGGCAGGACAGAGCACACACAGGTAAGAGAGAAACTATTATTGAATTTGTAATTTTAAGCAACCATAATAAGTAATGTATATGTGTTCTGGCATCTAATCCTCACAGCTATCCTATGAATTACATGTTATTAGCCTCTCTCAAAGTCAGTAGTGAAGAGTTTAGAAAAGACTGTGAAATGCAAGTTTAAATAAATTTTGTCCCAGCAACACATATAGGACTTTGAACTTTTAAAAACATACTTCTGTTGTATTCTCAGATGGTCTTCAGACCAATACCTCTATGAGATTGATGGAGCTGATATCAGTGTCTCCCTTTCTAGACAAGAAATCTGGCACTGTAAGTGCACTTCATGCATAAACACAGGAATTTAAATCCACGGAATAAGAATATGGGGAGAAATGAACTCCACATTCTTAAATTTTTATTGCTGCTGTAGCCTAGGCATCTCCTGTAGATTCAGCCAGTGATCTTAAATATGATTTTTTATGCTTTAATTTTTCATGCCTACAATTTTTGTTGAAATAACACCATTTGTGCCTCTGCCTGACAGCGTGCCCCAACCCATCATCTGTCAGATGCACAAATTTAGAAAGAAATGCCAGAAACCTACCCCCCTTTTCTTCAAAGATAATTAAGTATGAATTATTCAGAAACCTTGTATTACTGAGCAGTATTTGGGAGGCAATTTTGCGCAGCACCTATTTTTCCTCATGGTAGCAAACAAAACTCCATCTTCTACAGGATATATTTCATCTATTCTTAACTTTCAAACTGTCTTAATTGACAGGCAAATCAAAAGAATTTTTGATTTTCATGGAAGAAAATCATATATCTTCATCAGATACTAGTTTCTATGTTACTGTGCTCAGATGAGTGGAGGGAACAGACAAGAGTTTTAGTAACAGCAGTTCTTCACATGGTATTTGGGCAGCAACCCGGATTCTTTTTCTGGCAGCTAAGTCAGGGACCTGAGTTGGAAATAACTGTTGAAACCTTATTTATTCTGCACATCTTGGGGAAATATCACTGTAAAGGCACCAGGTGCATGCTTAGAATGTAAGTGGTGCCGTTAATTTACTCTAATTAATTAATTACAGTAATGCCTCTGTCTAGAGGGAATTTCCCTAGAAAGAGAAATGGAATGGTAAAAATTGCTCCAAAGCTGCTTCATCATTCACACTAGAGGAAGTTCATCTTAGAATGGCTGTTCTGGGAAGCCTAGAGCAGTGGGGAAAGGAGGAAATTGAAAGAAAACCCCAGGAAGAGCTGGCATTCCAGTGGTTTTCAGAATGTGTCAGAACATCAGCAGGGTTTGTTAAAACCCTACAGTGCTGGCTGGCTGCAGTGGCTCGTGCCTGTAATCCTAACATTTTGGGAGGCTGAGGCAGATGGATCACCTGAGGTCAGGAGTTCAAGACCAGCCTGGCCAACATAGTAAAACGCTGTGTGTACTAAAATAGAAAAATTGGCCAGGCTTGGTGGTGGGTGCCTGTGATCCCAGCTACTTGGGAGACTGAGACAGGAGAATTGTTTGAACCCAGGAGATGGCGATAACAGTGAGCCGAGACCATGCCACTGTACTCCAGCAGCCTGGGCAGCTGAGTCAGACTCCATGTAAAAAATAAATAAATAAAACCTACAGTGCTGGGCCCTGCCCCCAGAGCTTCTGGTTCCATCCTAACAGGTTCCTGGGTGACGCTACTACTGCTGGTCCAGGCACCACATTTTGAGAACTATGATCCTAGATAATTAGCCCACAGAGTAAGAGGCAGAGTGGGCTTTCGAATCAGCCAGACCGGGGTGTAACATCCAGCCCAGCTAAGTTTGAGACCCTGTGGAAGTATCTAAACTACTCTCGGAGACTGACTGCTCATCTGCAAATGGGGATAACAGCAAGCCTGTGCAGCTGAGAAGCGCTGCTGTGAAGGCAGCCACAGAATCTGACACTGTGTGTGATGTTTAGCAGGCTCCAGACAGATGTGACTGGCATCAGCAGCTGCAGGCACAAAACCCCATCTTCTCTAACACTCAGGCAAGGCTTTATCCATGTAAAACAAGGAGAGGACACAAATGTGCCCTGAGTGTTCTTTCTGTGCCTCTTCGAGTCCATCTTTTTCTTTTTTTTTTTTTTTTCCCCAAAAGTTCTGTTTCAAAGTAAAGACTGGCACCCTATGCAGGACAAAATACAACATAGGATAATAACAGTAACTGACAGCTAACGAGCACTTCTGAGATGCCAGGTGTCATACCATGAGACTTACCACATTTATATTTAAACTTCATAACAACTGTATAAGATACAAAGCATCATCATTCCTATAACAGGGTGGCTGAGGGTACACTGAGTCTCAAATAGGTTAACAACGTGCTCAGCATCAACCCAGCAGTGAGTGGCAGAACTGGGATTCAAACTGAGATTGGTCTAACTCCGGAAATCCAATGCTAGCCATTCTGCCGTGGGCTTGCTTAGGAAGGAGACAAGGGCGGTATTTTGCATTTGCATTTGCTTAGTGCTTTCGAGCTTCCACAATATGCTCATCTCTATCCCCATGACTGTCTTCTCACTACCATATAGAAGAGAAACAAGGTAAGCATTACTCTGTCCACTTTACAGACTCAGGGAGATAACAAGTAGCACAACTCGTCAGCTACGGATTCTGATGCTCAGTACACTGTCTTTTCATTACCTCCAGACCAGACTCACTGGCATGACTCAATATGAATCTGCCTTCTCAGGAAGGAACAGCCAACTGGCCATAAGTGTAGGCAGTAAATGCTGGATCCTGTCTTCATGCAATGAAAGACCGGAGATCCAGCTGTAGCAGTGGAGTCCACGGGAAGTTAACAGCCACTGGGTTTGATTTCCGAATTTCGCTACTTAATTGCTGCGTACCCATGAACAAATCATTAACATCTCTGAGTAACCTTATAAAAGCCTTGGCAGCTTTATGAGTATTTGTGCAAGTAACAAAAGATGGAAGAAGAAAAGAAATGTCAGAAAAGAGAATGAGATTAAACCATTAACCCTCTACCCCCCTCAAACTAATTCAGTGATTTACTCACAGCGATTCTATCAGAGGATGGTATTCTCTAATCCCACATACCAGAGGCAGGTTAGAAAGTGACACAGCTTGGAAGTAGGAATAGTTATTAAGAGAACAGACAGAAATAACTGTTAAAAACACATGCATTGAATGAAGAGACCCCCCCAAACAGGCTGTGTGAGCAACATGGCTATTTACTCACCTGGGTGCAGGTGGGCTAAGGCTGAAAAGGGCATTAGCAAAGGGCAGTGAGATAGGAGTTAGTTTTATAGGTTTGAGGTGGGCGGTGGAAAGTTTCAGAGTAAGATCAGTTGCAGTGGTGGGTATAGGGACAAGGAGTATATATTACCATAAATTCAGTTACAATGGTGGGCAGGAAAAGAGTAGTTAAGATGGTAGGGTGGGGTGAAGAGTATTCACATTATCACAGTAACAGTTAAGATGGCAAGGTGGGGTGAGGGGAAGCTTATGTCCTGGGGAAGCTCTGCTGCGTGATCAGGGATAATGACGAGCCAAGGCAGGCAGGACTTCAGACTTTCTGGGTCTGGGCTTGCACATGGAGGCCTGACAATAACAATATGAGAATCTATTTTATTCTGGCACTCTGTTACACGGCGTTACATAAATTTGCATATTTAATTTTATCCTTCTAATAGCGCCTTAGTACCAATATGAATGTTCCTGTTTTACAGGTGAGTTTAGAGAAGTCACATTATCCAGTAGACATAAACACTTCCTACAGCCTCTCTTTCCATGAAAAACCCCATGAAGGTTAAGAGATAAAGGAGCCTGGAACCCACTCCTACCAGTGATGCCTGTAGCTGGCTCCCTGCTCATTATCTACATCTCTTCCAAATTCCATGTTGGATAAGATCACCTTGAGAGCTTGAAACCATCCATTGTGGGAGTATTTACACCATAGAAATCAGCAGATGCTACAAAGCAGGGCTTCCTCCTTCCTTTCCACCCCTAACCAGTTTATCAGCACACTGCTGCTCCCATCCTCCGTCTTACATTTCTTTTCAGTTAAGGTTTGTCTCCTACCAGGCAAGAGAGAGGTTCCAAGAGATTGAATGCCCTTCTTAAAATTTCTGGGAAGAAAACAAAAGTTGCTTTGATCAAATATTGTGTTGACTTCGACAGAGACTTTGTTTCTTTCCCTTCTTTATCCAGTGGATGGTGTTCATTATCCCCAGTATGCAAGCAGAGCATGAGTGTTCTGGATACATGGTTCCATGTGGTCATTTTGACCTCTTCAGATCCCACAATGAGAGTAGAATTATAGCCTTAGGACCAAATAAAGTGAATCCATGAAAATGCCAAGCAGCAAAAACAAATAAAGGAATCTTCACTTGCATCTCCAGGATATTACTTTCCAGGGGTTGGAAAAAGCCTTCCTCCCTGGGCTCATGAAAACAAAGGGGTTTTGTCAGCGTTGATCCTGAAAGGCTTTTCTATTTCCTTCTGTGGTTGGAAGCAGGAAAATTCCTGAGAGGTCTGTCTTTCTCTGTCTCCTTAGGACTCCATTTCTCTCTCAGTAGGATGATTGAACTAATCAAAAGAGACCTTTACTTTCTCTTGCCTTTAAATTGTCCTTCACACTCCATACACTGCCTGGGGCTCATTAGGGGCTTCCTGTCTGACACTTCTTTCTTAGACCTTCACAGATATTAGGATGCAAGAAATGCTGCTAATACTATCTTTTGCAATTCCGTAAGGGCAAAAAATAACTTTCTGTGTTTCTTCTTTTCACAAAAATATAAATAAACATAGGAGTTTAAAAACAAAAATCTACCTCTTGCCTATGTTCAGGTAGAAAGCATCTTATTCTAGTTGCTTTTTTTTTTGCGACAGTCTCCCTCTGTCCCCAGGTGCCAGGATGGGGTGCAGTGGTGCGATCTCGGCTCATTGCAACCTCCTGGGTTCAAGCAATTCTCCTATCTCAGCCTCCCAAGTAGCTGGGACTACAGGTTCAAGCCACCACACCCAGTTAATTTTTGTATTTTTTAGTAGAGACGGGGTTTCGCCATGTTGGCCAGGATTGTCTTGATCTCTTGACCTCATGATCCGCCCACCTTGGCCTCCCAAAGTGATGGAATTACAGGCATGAGCCACTGCGCCTGGCCTCTAGTTGATATTTCTATATTCTTCTTCCTCTTCTGTTATTCTTTTCAGGGATTACACGATTTTTCTACTCACTAATGAGCTCTAGACTCACTTTGTGGTCTTGAAATTCCACTCTCCCACTGGAGAGACAACCAGTTTATAGTTCAGTGTCAGAGTGGCCCAGTTGGCTCCATCTCCAAGATGCAGAGAAGAAACCTGAAAATAAGACTGAGCCAGAAAGACAAAAGCCATCCAGAATCCCGGGGGCTCCTGGGAGGAGACTGAAGTTATTCAACCATGTCATGCTCCTGGGAGGAGACTGAAGTTATTCAACCATGTCATGAACCCACCCATGGAGCTTAAGTAATTCCTTTTTTTAGTAAAAAATAAAAGATTCACTTAGTAAATAGAACCTGACTTTAATTCCCTAGTCTAAGCTGTTGTTTTTCATTGAGGAAATAAGCTTTCTTTCTTTCTTTTTTTTTTTTTTTTTGTGGAGGGGGCATATTTTCTCTCTTTAACACCGAAGTTAGAAGAACATAGAAGATGAAGTTAAAAATGAGAAAAATTTACACCTCAGAAACCAAATAAAAAAAATTAAAAAAAAACAGAATCATTGAGGGTGGAGCCCAGGTATCTCGCCATCTTGCACCATTTTTTAATGGTACGATTTTTTAAGTTTACCAACTCTATCAGTCAGGGTTCTCCAGAGAAGCAGAACTCCATCCATCCATCCATCCATCCAGAAATTTTAAGGAATTGGCTTATGTGATTGTAAGTGCTGGCAAGTCTGAAATCTGTAGAGTAGGCTGACAGGCTAGAAATTCAAGTAAGAGTTAATGTTGCAGTCTTGAGTCCAAAATCTAAAGGGCAGGTTAGCAGGCTGGAAATTCAGGAAGAATTTCTATGTTACAGTCAGAAGCAGAATTCCTTCTTCTCCAAGAAGCCTTGGTTTTCTGCTCCTAAGGCTTTCAGCTGAGGTCCTTTATCTTCCCTACAGTGATTGCCTCTGACCATTTGTACACCCTGGAATCCTCCTTCCATCCTCACTGACTTCAGACAAGCTTGCATCCTATCTTACAGAGAAGATGGAGGAAAATGAACTGTTTCCATTCCCAACATTTTCAATATCTATCAGTGTGAGCCCTTTATTGGGTGTTCTACATTGCAATTAATTATGTCCAGAGAAAGAATTGGTTGGGGTACTGTTCCTACTGCTGTGATCATCCCAGTCACATCAGCCATCTCCTCTCATCTATGGATATGTTGCCATAGAGGGGTATGGGCTGTCTCCACTTTATGGAGTTAAAACATATAGTTTAGTGATATGTGAATCATAGTTTCCCAAATAAGTGATTCCAGAAAAAGTTTTTTCACAAATTCACATTTATAGTTCCTAGTGGATTGAGAACTATCATTCTAAATAGTCCCTGAGCCTCAGTCATTCATTCTAATCTAGAAAGATGCTGCTGAATCTCCTAATTGGGGGGTGGCAGGAAACGTCTGGAATTGTCTGTCATCATAACTATGGCATTAGAAGCAATGGAAAAAGAATCAAAGCTTTAAATAGATGCATATGATAAAATAACTATAAGGGAATACTACAAACAATTCTTCCCACATAAATTTTATAACATAGACAAAATGGATGAATTTGTCAAAGAACACAAACTACTACCCCCTACTCAATTTGAAATGAATAATTATTCCTAAAACTATTTTTAAAAATCTTGTACTCATAATTTAAAAACCCCCAAAAAAGACACCTCCAACACCAGATGGTTTTTCTGGAGAATACTATTCAACATTAAAGAAAAATTAACACTAAATCTACACTATTTTTTTTCAGATAAGAGGATGGAATGCTTCTCAGTTCATTTTTCAAAGCTAGTATTACCCTGACACCAAAAACAGATAAAGATAGCATAAGAGCATGAAAAGAGAAAACTAAAATATTTTTCATAAATAGAGATTTAAAAATTTGTAACAAAATATTAGCAAATAAAATCTACCAGTATATATAAAGAAGTATACGCTTTGACCAAGTTGGAAGTATTTCAGGCATGCAATATCTAACAATCAATCAGTGTAATTCACCATACTAACAGACAAAGAGGGAAAAAAATCATACGATCATATCAATTTATGTAGAAAAATATTTAATAAAATACCCCTTTTATCAGTCTATTCTCATGTGGCCAATAATGACATACCCAAGACTGGATAATTTACAAAGAAAAAGAGGTTTAATGGATTCACAGTTCCACATGACTGGGGAGGCTTCACAGTCATGGCGGAAGGTGAAAGGCATGTCTTACAATGCAGCAGGCAAGAGAGAAAATGAGAACTAAGTGAAAGGGGTTTACCCCTATAAAACCATCAGATCTCATGAGACTTATTCACTACCATGAGAACAGTATGGGAAAGAAAGCCCCCATGATTCAGTTATCTTCCACCAGGTGCCTCCCACAACACATGGGAATTATGGGAGCTACAATTCAAGATGAGATTTGGGTGGGGACACAGCCAAACCCTATCAGATGCAGAACGAGAAACTGCCTTGAGTATAAGTGCAGACTCTTATTGTGTGGCCCCACCATACTTATTCAATACCCCACCATTTCAATACCACGAGAAAAGTATGGGAGAAACTGCCACCATGATTCAATGATCTCCCACTGTGTTGACCCACCTACAACACATGGGAATTATGGGAGCTTCAATTCAAGATGAGATTTAGGTTGGGACAGAGCCAAACCACATTACCCCTTCATCATCAAAACTCTTAGAAAAATGAAAATAGAGGGTGTGATATCATGACTATATGAATATATTGGTTTTTATCAATGGTTCCTGGCTTATAACTCCCACAACATTTGTTACAGTTTTTTGTTATAATATTGGAGAGCTTTAGGCCTCAGAAGGAGGTCTCAGGAAACAGAATCTCTCTTTCTCTGAGCTTATTCTGCCCTCCTTTCATTTGTTCTGGATAGGGGAACACATGGAGGTTCCAGGAGGCTGGTATGCCCAGGGAGGGATGGAAGCTCCACGTCCCGGCCCTTCCCCATTCTTCACACTATGCATACCCCTTCATCTGCATCTTTTAAAATATTTTTTATAATGAACCAGTAAATATGAGTGTTTCAATCAGTTCTGTGACCCAGAACTCCAGCAAATTAACCAAACCAAAGGCAGGGGTCATGGGAATCTAAAGTTGAAGCCAACTGGTCAGAAGTTCCAAAGGCTTGAGACTGAGGTCTCAAGGGGAGGGGTGGCAATCTTAGGAACCAAGCCTTCAACCTGTGGGATCTAATACTATCTCCAGGTAGACAGTGTCAGAATTGAATTGGAGGATACTTAGTTGGTGTCTGCTACAGAATTTTCCTCTATTCTAGAGTTTTCCCCAAACAGAGGGGATCTTCTTCCACTCGATAAAGAGCATGTACCAAAAAATTATAGCCATTATACTTAATGGTGAAAAACTAAATGATTTTCCCCAAAGAAAGAATATCTGCCTCTACTATTCTTATTCAACATGGTGCTTGAAGTTCTAGCCCATGCATTAAAACAAGAAAAGGAAACAGAAAAGAAATTCTATTTCCTGAGACCTGCTTCTGAGGCCTAAAGCTCTCCAACAAAAGACTGCAACAAGTGTTACGGGAGTTATGGGCCAGGAACCATAGCTGAAAAATCATATATAAACATAATTAAGGTAAATATACAAACATTGATTGTATTGCTATATGCTGGCAATAAACACATAGACACCATAATTTAGAGCATAATCATCTAATTGCTCAAAAAATGAAACAGGTGTAAATCTAACAGAACATGTACAAGACTTATATGTCAAAAGCTACACACATTAGTGACAGAAAAAAAATCAAAATCAATAGACAGCCAGGCGCGGTGGCTCAAGCCTGTAATCCCAGCACTTTGGGAGGCCGAGGCGGGTGGATCACGAGGTCAAGAGATCGAGACCATCCTGGTCAACATGGTGAAACCCCGTCTCTACTAAAAATACAAAAAATTAGCTGGGCATGGTGGTGCATGCCTGTAATCCCAGCT